AGTCTGGCCGGCCTCGACAAAGTAATGCTTCATAAAAAGAACAATTCGAGGGTGAATAAAGCCCTTCTACTCCATGGCACCAATTTAGAACACACGAGAAAGTGGGCACAGGGAGACAGTGTCCAGGGGTGGGGACAAACCTCACCTGTGCGTGGCCTCAGCTCAGAACCTGGTACCACTCAGTTTCCCTTGCTTCACTGTGCGTAACCTGGGTGGACCCTGAGCATAGCCAGGTGTCACCCTGGAGCCTCAGAGCATGTGCAGTGTGACCCCAATGACCCCGGTGGCCTGGAACAGCATCCCTGGGCCACCAGCCCCCATGACCAAATACCGCAGGGCTAGACCCTGAGCCCCTGAGCCCGGGTGGGAGCTGAACTGATGAGCTGAAGAGAAGGGCTTGCAGCTGCGTCTCTGTTACTTCTGCACAGAATCCTGCAGGGCTGCGCTGTAAGTAGACATCAAAGAACAAGCAGATGCCACAGGAAGGTTCTCCTTGGCCCTTCTGTTTGCGGCACAAATGCCGTCAGACAGACTCTGAGAGGTTTATGCTGCCCATGGGGGGCAGGAACGAGAAGGGATACCCAGGGGACACAGGGCCGCTGAGTTGCCTTAGGGACAATGTGCAGCTTGAGTGGCCACAGGGGAGGGGGCACCCTCCCAGGAATCCCGGGTAGGGGTTCGAGAAATCGCATGTGCTTCGCCTTCTGGGAACAGCGCCCTGCCCCTCGCTGCTGCCCTACAGCCTCCCTCCGAGAACCAGCAAGGGTCAGCCAAGACTCCTCCTGCTTCATTCTCAAGTACCAGATTTCTACACACACCCCCAAACCCCCATCATGTGTGCCCACCCACCATCACAAGATCAAAAAGTAAAGCCCAGGTTCCCATAAGCCAAGCAAGAGCGTCTGCTCGGCCTCCGAGGGGAAGAGACTGTCTCTGATTTCAGCTCAGACGTTTTATTTGGGGTGGAGTGAGGAAGAAGCGAGAAAACCTGGTGAGTTGATGAATTTCCGTGGCCACCGGGTCGAGGTCAGCGGGCCCTGCGGGTCTTCATGGCGCCCAGTTCCTGTCACCTCCTCAGCTACCAGGCCAGGAAGTTCTGCAGTGCCCAGGCTTGAGGCAGTGCCCCAGCTCTGAGGCCCTCCTGGGCCCTCTGGGACCCCCCACTGTAGCCCTCTATGGCCCTCCGTGGCCTCCCTGGGCCTTTGTGGTTCCTCGTGGCACCCTCCGTGCCCCCCTCATGGCAGGTGCTACAGCCCTGCACGGGCTGGTTCAAAGACGCAACTCTCCACCCCTGCTTCAGTCAACTTAGTCCATCAGGAAGGTCGGGCGACCCCTCGTCTCGGGAGATCCACCCGGCACGAGGCCCCACAGGCTGTTCCGATGAGAAGAGAGATCTCCTGCTAGAGAGGCAGGGATCTGTGGTGTTGGGATGTGTGTGTGTGTGTGTGTGTGTGTGTGTGTGTGTGTGTGTGTGTGTGTGTTGGGGTGGGGGGATGCACTGTCCTTGCATGGAGGGGGGGGGCTCTTTAGGAGAAGCAGGGAGAGGACAGCACCTCCCAGGGGGATGAGAACGAGAAGTGTGTGTGTGTGGTGGGGGGGATGCTTTGCAGTGAAAACAGGGCAGCCAGTTCATGTGATTTAATTTATGAGCCGATTAGAGAATGACGGGCTTGGGAGAACGCGGCACGATCGTATTTTCCAAAATAAAACGCTCCCAATTGCTCAGAACTTGCTAATGCTCTGGAGGGGTGGAGTGGGATGGGTGAGGGGGGGGGCGAGAGAGGGGGGCTAACGGGAAACATCTGGGAGCCCTGAGTCTGGGAATTGTGCCTTGGCTTCTTACGATGCTGCTCACGGACGGTCTCCAAAGAGTGCCTCTGAGTGATGATCCGAGTAAGTCTGTAGGGAGAGGCAGAGGGCAGGTGGGGCCCACTTTGCTGCCAGATGAAAAGCACGGCTCTCCCCCATTGCCTCAGGCCGGTCACTCCACACACCGCCTCTGACCTTCTAGTTATTCCTGATTTTCTCTAAGGAGATGCAGCGCTTAGTGAGGCCTCTCCCCACATTCACGGCTGCAAAATGATTGACGGCTGGGGTGTCTCTTAATCCAAGTACAGAGGCGTTTTTGTGGTACTGCAGGAACCGGATCCCACCTGCTTTAAAGACCACTGCCCACAGACCTATGGCACGGCCGTCTGTCTGCAAACTCCCGTGATCACTGCAGAACAAGCCCAGCAGTATACACAAGCCGTGCACGGCCAGTTCCTGCACAAAGTCAGGCCACTGCTGCCTCCGGCTCACTGACATCCCACCTGTCCTGAAGGCTGTCTCAGGCTGTTGCCTTGACTTACCTACCCAGTGGTGTGCTGGAGAACACAGACAGGAGTCAAGAAGTCAGGGTTTTGACTTCAGATCATAGGAAGGACCTGTGTCGGGGGCCGGAGAGAGAACAGCGGGGCTGGAGCTCAAGTTGGACATGGTGGACCAGGTTTTGATCCTTGGCATCCTGTATAGTTCTTGCAGCCCTGCCACGAGTGAACCCTCAGCACTGAGCTAGGAGTAAGCCCTGAGTACAGAAGGAAGGAAGGAAGGAAGGAAGGAAGGAAGGAAGGAAGGAAGGGAGGGAGGGAGGGAGGGAGGGAGGGAGGGAGGGAGGAAGGAAGGAAGGAAGGGACGGAAGGAGGGGAGGGGAGGAAGGAAGGAAGGAAGGGAGGGGAGGGAAGGAGGGAGGGAGGGAGGGAGGAAGGAAGGAAGGAAGGAAGGAAGGAAGGAAGGAAGGAAGGAAGGAAGGAAGGAAGGAGCAAGAAAGGGGGAGGGAGGGAGGGAAAGAGAAACTGAGAAAGGGTGGAGAAAATAAAAGAGAAAGGAGCGAGAGAAAAATAAAAAAGAGAAGAAAGAAAACAGCGAAAAAGGCTGGTCAGAGAGTTCAAACAGCAGTGGGGTGCTTGCCTTGCATGTGGCTGAACTGGGTTTGATCCCCAATACTTCGTAGAGTCTCAAAAGCCCCCCAGGAGTCTCCCTGAGCACAGAGCCAGGAGGAAGCCTTGAGCCCCTCTGGGTGTGGCCCCCAGACCAACAAAGCGTGTCAGTTGGGCTGTCTATCAGGGTAGGTGACTCCCGCCCGCAGTAGCCAGGGTACGCGACATGGGTGGGAGTGAGACTGCAGGTGAGCGGTGAAGGAGCAGCTGCAGAATCTCTTCCTGCCCCTGCAAGTGAGAGGCGGTTCCCTGGGATGCTTCACTCCCCAGTGAGAGTCCAGTGTCAATGGACACACCAGGGCGGAGGCGGTCACACAGCCGGGGTTATGACCACAGAAGGAGCAGGGTGATGGGTGAACTTGAGCTGGGTTCTCTGAATGACAGAGAAATTGAGCAGGGTCCTATTTCCTGAGGTCCCTGCTCAATCTGGGAAAAATATGGAGCCTCCAAAAGGCAATGTGGCCATTCTGCTCCCAAAGAGCCAGGAGGGGCGTGGGGTCATTGGGAGTCAGGAGCCCACAGGCTCTCCTTGGAGTCAAGACATTCCATGGGCTTGGCTCCCCACTTGCTCAAGGACCCGGGGAAAGTGAATTTGGGACATAGATCCCCATGCAGCCAGCCTGGGGTCCCCTGAGGAGTCTTCCGCCCACAAAATGAAGGTGCACATGCAGACGCGCTGGCCTGTATGGTACGCCATGCTAGGCCAAGCTTATTTTATTACATACATTCTGCATCCTAAGAACTAATAACTTCATATTGTAAACATTAAGCATACAGAGTTAAAATTCAAGGCCACATCATATCACGATTGTCTCTGTTGTATCTTTGGCTGGCCGAGATCAACTCGTAGTGTATAAATGCATAAGTTATATAATTATTATATAAAAAGGGGGTGGAGGGAAACAAGACCACTGACTTGGAGATTTCATTCTGACAAACGCACAGCGTTCGCGACTCAAAAGGAAAACTGGGGCCTCAGTGGTACCCAACCCAGGAGTCAAAGTGACTGAGATGGTGACGGCCAAGAAGGCCCCCTCTGACCGGACCCCTGTGGGGAACACAGCAGGCCCCCACCAGAACCATGAGGTCCTGAAAGTGTCTTTTTTTTTCCAGATCAGATGATTTCCAGTTACACAGTTGCTTTGGACAAAATAACAACGATGAAAAAAAAAAAGATGCCCCGTTTTGGTTTCTGAATGCAAGGCCCACCCCTTCCTGTCTCAGCAACTCTTCGTCCTGACTCATCCCTGACACTCGGTGTGATACCATCCTGATCCCACAAACTCCACATCTGCCACACGCAAACCCCTAACTCCTTCTCCAGCTTCCCGCCATGCTCCCAATGGCCACACTCGGTGACCCGAGAAGTCCCTTCCCCAGACTGGCCGCCCCTTTCCACACCTCTTCCTGGCCCACCTCCGCTAACCCTCTGTCCACAACCACACAACCTCTCTGGTCATAGCCCCGGTCCCACGGATCACCTCCCCGACCCTGAAATACTATCAAGGAGTTGGAACACTTGGATCGTCTTCACAGTTTGAGAGATCGCGTAGCGCTCTGTCCAACGGAAGGAACCCAATTCAGCCCCCAAAGCAGGCACTGACGAGTCCTGCCAACACGTCAGTTGAGGGGGCCCCCCTGGTCTTTTCTTCTCAGGTGTTTTTACTATGTTTTGATTTTGAAATACAGGTAGTTTTCCTGGCAATGTTATCATTAAGGGGATGACGGGGCGAGACAGCATGGGTCTCTCTATTGCTTTGAGGGAATCCTGGGTTTGTACCGGCAGAACCCCAGACTCTCACGAGTATACTACGCCTGGAGACGCCTTTCTTTGGCACAACTGTTCTTGGACTTACAATGTCTTTTCCAAGGTGGGTCTACAGATGGTTCATCCGTAGACACGCCAGTCTGAGCAGCGTCTTGCTTGACGGCTGCTGTGAAACTTTAGTCATGCTCCTGCTAAGGAAGAGTTTTCTGTTCCTCCCCCCAAGCCCCCTTCCCCCAGCCCCTGGTCCAGCTCTGTCATTCCCATGGAGGAGGCACTTGGGGTGCATGTTCTCAGTGCATGTTCTCAGGGCAGGCGCTGGGGGATTGGGGGTGGCGAGAAAGGCCCCTTCTCTGGTGTCTAGTAGTAAGAGCCCAGGTGAGAAGGCATATGGCTGGCAGGAAGCCTCGTGTTGGGGTAGATCCCTCCGGTGGGCGAATTCCAGTACGGGTTGGGGGCGGCGAAGAAACTGGATGATGTCACGGGGAGGGCTGGGGGGTGGGGAGCAACGAAGTTCATCTTCTGCGGGTGGGCATGGTAGGAGCCCATGTAAGGCAGGTCCGAGGGGTACTTGTAGAGCGAGGACTCGGGTGGGTGCGGCTGCAGCGCCTGGGCGATGCCATGGAAGTCGAACTTGTAGGCGTAGCGCTTGCCGTGCACCTTGGTCATGATGTTCTTGTCGTAATAGTAGCGCAGCGCCCGGCTGAGCTTGTCGTAGTTCATGTTGGGTTTGCTCTTCCGCTCGCCCCAGCGCCGCGCCACCTCGTCCGGGTCCGTCATCTTGAACTCACCGTTGGTCCCTTCCCAGGTGATGCAGCTGGAGTTGGAACTGTCCGAGAGGAGCTCCAGCAGGAACTGCCACAGTTGGATCTGCCCGCTCCCTGCGGTGTAGACAAGGAGAGAGAGGACCAGTGAGCACGGCTTTCTTTGGTTATGGTTTTATTTTATATTTGGTTGGCAGGTGGGGGGAAGCACACTTGGCATTGCCCAGGGTTGAATTCTGGCTCTGTGCCTGGGGATCACCCCTGGCAGGGGTTGGGGGCATCCGATGCGGGGTTGGGATTCAAACCCAGGTTGGGCACATGCTAGGTAAGTGTCTTAACCCTTGGACTATCTCTCAGGCACTCGCACAATCCAGAGAAGAACTCAGGGCTGTAGAACCCCCCTTTCCCCTTTCCAAAAGCCAAGCCCCTTCCCTCTTCTTTGGGACATTCTGTAAGGGCATAACTGACGCCGTGACAGGCGGCAGAAATGAGAAAAATCAAGTAGGACTCAGGTTCAGTTACTAGGACTGAAACAGATTTTGTTTTCCAGCAATGAAACACTGTGTAACTAGCCAACCTGAGCCACATGGGAAGTTCCTGGGCCCAATAAATGCTCAATCAATCACTATGCCTCAGTTATAATGATCCAGAAATTATCTTTTTGTTAACTGTAAGGAATGGGTAGCCTATGTAATCCTAGGACTATTACTGTTACTGGAAACTATTGTTTAACTGTTGCTTGACCATGGTTTCCATAGTGCTTGCTTCACTTTGAAGCTTTGGACCCTATATAAACCCCTTGTGGTTTGGAGTCGGGGGTCCTTGTCAAGACTCCGCTGTGTTGCAGGAGACTCAGACCCTAGCTCAAGGTAGCAATAAAGTTCCTTTGCTTGGAATTTGGGCCTAACAATTCCCCAGACCCCTTCTCTCGAGATCTGCCCTAGGCTCGAGAGAGGTTTCCTCACACATCCAGGGGGAGGGCCTGAGCCCAGATTCCAGGAGAGATACTGAGTCTACTGCTAATCTTGTCCCAGAGCTGAGGGGCTCTCAGCTAAGACCCGAAGCCCCTCCACCCTCGCCTGCTCATCAGTGACTCTGGAGGGAAGAATCAGTTGCTTGAGTGTTCTCCTCCCAAACTCTGCAGAGATAAGAGAAGGATCCTTGGAGGCGACCTTTCTGAAGCAGATTCCGGATTTTTTTTTCTCTGATGGGGTGCAGCAAACAACTCCAGGGCAAAGGTTAGGGTGCTTCTGGCCATTCCTGGCTTCCCACAAACAACAGCCATGCCCCCCTCCTGGACCAGGAGGTCAGGCCGACTTATTCTTTGGCTTTCGTGGGGCACAGAGGGCCATGAAGTGGAGGCGGCAGTAATGACCTCATGCCGTGAAGACTTGGCCGGGTCCTCCAGCACAATCATAAAAGTCAGGTTTAGGAAATGAATTTCTAAAGGCCGATGGAAAAAACACTGAGAATGGAAGTAAACACTGTTCTTTCTAACATAACATTCTGTTGGCACTCGGAAAGCTCCTCCATCAAAACTTTTCCTAGAACAGAAGCAGCCCCCTCCAGATGAGGGAGGTGAGAAGAAGCTTGGCTCCATTTCAAACCAGAACCCTCCCCCTCCCCCTTCCAGTACGTGGATAACTGCCTTGTAACGGAAAGTCAAATTCCACCCCCTGCCCTGGAAACCTGATGGCGCTGAGATGAGTTTCTGAGGGAAACACTGGCTCAGTGAGTGCTGGGGGCCCTTTGTGGGGATCCCAAGGAAGGTTCATTTCATTGGGGGGGGGGTGCACAAAGTGTTTCTGACACCCTTGGGATCTTTTCTGGTTTCTTAAATTCCAAGAATAGCCCAGTCCTATCATTCCAGATGCAAGGCTACAAAACTTAAAACTTGAAGATGACCTCAGGCCCTTTCATAAAGAAAAAGTTATCTCGGCATCGATAACCCAAAAAACCCAAGGGAAGACAGGATTTTAAAAACCTGAAACTTAAGAGGGGGATGAGAATAAGCAGATCATTCTCCCCTAAGCCCCAGTCACTGCCCCTGACTCTGCACTTATCACGAGTTTCCCCTGATCCTCTTATCGGTAAATATGGTAAATATCAATCAATCCGTATGCTGCATGATTGAAGTCACTTTCACTGACAACTGCCCAGAGCCCTGAGGTCATGTGAAGAATTAATAATAAATGGGGATTCCTCCAAATCCTTCTCACTATGGAAGAACAGCTTTCTCTCTAAATTGTCCAGCCCATAAATCCTTGTTTCCACGTAGGCTACACGGGCGGGGAGAAGCGGGTGAATTCATCCATATCATCGTACGACCGTGAGAAAGGGCAGCCTTTTCTGAACATGCTCTGGAATATTATCACTTTCAGTTGAGCAAAACATTTGAAATGTATTAACAGCTTGTAGTGCATCGCCATGGAAGTCTTCTCTGGCAGATCCCAAACTCAAACTGTTCTCAATCAGGTTGCGTTACCCCCAACATTTCATTAATATGCATGGAAAACAAATATGAAGTTTGGTATGAGAACACCATATGGATTTTGTATAAATATGTGTATATATATAAATATGTATATAGAGACATATGTAGTAACCAAGGATTATAGCTTGAATAAAACTTGAGTAAAATCCATCTCTGACCTGGGAGCTGGGGGAAGCCTGGTTTTCAGGGAATGGTCCAACTAATCCTTTCCAGTTTTTGGAGAATAAATTTTCCATGTCAACTTCCTGCCACAGCAAGGACAATTCCATCAATTTTCTATAAACACAGACCTTCCTCAACAGCCGCAATAATGCTCAGCCTCTAGTCCAATCCCAGCATTGGGTCAGGTGAGAGAAGTAAAATCACTCATGGCTGAATAGCAAAGCTCAAAGAACAGAGGAATGACTTGGCTAGTTCTGTAAACACAATTTTACCCCTTAGTCTCTTAAGATACTGGGCTCAAGTTTCCCAGCATAGCTGCAGTCAATGGGACTTAGAAATCTATTTTTAAGAAATAAATAAAAAGGAACTTGAATGAAAATAAAGATGCCACACCACGTGGGTAAAACTAGTTGCAGAAACCTATCAATAGAACCCACCAGCTTTCAAGGCTCATTGCAAAGCCAAGGTTCAATCTAAGAAGCACTGTGTCTCCTGGTTGATCCCTCACAGGCGGGGATAGAGGGTCTTCTCTGCCTGTGCGAGCTCAGGGTGAACTATGGGGGCTGGGAAATAAAAGTCAACAGCCAACTGAGGGCATTCCTTGTGGGTAGCTGGTTCCAATATATCCTATACTCTTGGTAGCTGCCCAATGGCCCCATTCCTGTGCAGTGACAAGGCTACATTAGACTACAGCCATGGAATTCTGAATCAAGAAGAGGTGGGGGTTAGGCAAACCCACAAGCCCACTGGGTTCTACATCCCTCAGGGCACTGCAGACGGCCCTTAGGGCTCTGCATACATCCCTCAGAGTACTACATGTAGCCCTCAGGATTCTGCACTCATCCCTCAGAGTACTGCACACAGTCCTCAAGATTCTGCACACAGCCCTGTGGTCTGGCTAGTCCTCGAAGGGCACCCTTCTCCTCCCCAGTTGGTTGGCCCTCCTGTCTCCTAACCAAGGACAAAACACCTGAAACCCAGTCTCCAATTTTGCATGAAGGGGGAAGCATTTAATCTGACCCCTGGCATAATCACGTGGTCAACAGGAGAAACTCAGTCTAGAGTGCAGTCCCCTGAGCTCTCTCTCCAATTCACAAAGGCAGCACAGTTACGTGGTAGAGAATTTACTTGGTCAGAAACGGGAAAACAGAATCAAACAGGAATAGTCCCATTGCGAGAAAGAGAAGACTCTTTCTGGTTTGGGGGGGAGGGGGTTTCTGAAGCCCCGCTGGGTCCCCACTGCAGGCGAAAGGGTGGGGAGAGTCTAATTCCAGACAAGGAACGGCCATCATCTTCCTTTCTATGTAGAGGGGTGGAAGGCGGGTGGAGGCTGCTGGGGCTTGTCCCAGACCCTATGGGCCTCTCCCTGCCACTGCTCTGAGCAGTCACCACAAGCTTCTGGATGCAGATTTTGCAACGTGACTTTATGACACCAACTCGTACAAATGACAGGGTTCATTGGTGCGATGACCACACTCATCCTATTGCCCCTGGTTTCAGCGCCATCTTGATTCTCCTGGGGGAAGTGGCCTCTTCTCTGCAGACTTGGCGGGAGGAAGGAAGAGCCCAGCCTCAGGCTGAGAAGGGGCGAAGCTTGCCCCAGGACTCTGGGTACCTGCTCCCTGCCTGGGATTTGCCATCATTGTGCTGCTGCTCCCAGGAGGGTCCAGCTCCCAGCAGCCTTTCCTTTCTTCTAGCCCACCCAGAACACTGCTGTCCAATCCCTGTCTCCAGAAGCTCACCCCCTATGCACCGTTGCCAAACACAGCTGCACGTTTGCATGGTTTTACAGGTGGGGACACAAGGAGAGCTGAATACAGGTAGGAATGGGGCCAGAGAACCCGGCCACGCTGACGCCAGCCCGATGGACCCAGGAAAGCCCAGAGTCCAAGGTTGATGCACTGGACGGGACAGTCACCAGCTAACCCAGCCCCAGCCCTCAGCATCTGATCACCTGCCAGGCTCAGGCTGGCCTCTCCTATTGACTACATTCATTTACTCAGCAAGTCATGATGGAGCACTGGGTTGAGGAGTAGTGAACAAAATAGCCCCTTCGCACAGCTCAGGTATATCCACACATCTCGGCTGAATGAGTTCACAAGTTCCCTAAACTTGCAGGTCCCAGAGCCAGACACCCGAGGATAGTGATCTTTAATGTTCTCAGAACCTAAATTCCCTTGTGGTGTTCGGCTGTTCGAATCTAAATGATGTATGTGTATATTTGTGTGTGTGTGTATGCACACACCTATAATGCCAGTGTGTCTCTGTGTGTGTATGTTTGCACACGTGTGCGCGTGCACATACTTACAATGCCTGTGTGTGTGTGTGAGTGTGTGTGTGTGTGTGTGAGAGAGATTTCCATTTCCAACCATGTTTTGGCCTCACTGTTGAGGAAAGAGGCAATCCAGCTTGTCTTTAAACTCTGCCTGGGACAGCTTGGCACTGAACGGGCCACTGAGAAAAACACGGCAGATGCTAAGAGTTTCTGTGGCTGATGTCGGCACAGCTGGCTCTGGTCTGAATGCAAACAAACACCCCCCTTTGGTGGTATTTGGTGGGCACTGAGATGTGATGACAGGGGACAGTCCTTGGCAAGGCTGCAGCTTCAAATAGCCAATTAGGCGTCTGTGTTTTCTTTTTGTAACTGGGCCCAGGGACAGGCTCTTGGGGGAAAGCGATCCTGCCTGTGGGATGAAGCTTCTCTTTCTGAAAATAAGAGCCTGGTGCTTGTGTCACGGGCTGGATTTTTTGCTCCTTCCCCGACACATTTTCTACTTCAGTCCTATCCACTCCCGCCCCCCCCCCCACACCCGCTGGCCCTCAGGATGTGAGCTATGGGGCTTATTCAAAAGCCAACAAGGTGATTTGGTTGAGCTCCAGTCAACTGGGCTTCATCATTTAAAATAGGAGACTGGGGCTGGAGCAATAGCATAGCAGGTAAGGCTTTTGCCTTGCATGTGGCCGACCTGGGTTCGATTCCCAGCATCCCATATGGTTCCTTGAGCACTGCCAGGAGTAATTCCTGAGTGCAGAGCCAGGAGTAAGCCCTGAGCACCGCCGGGTGTGACCCAAAAATAAAATAAATGAATAAATAAAATAGGAGACTGGGATGCAGGACATAAATGAAAGAGAAGAGGCAGAGATGCAGGAGGAAGACCATCCACAGGCCAAGGAGAGATGTCTGAATCAGACACCGCTCTCCTGGCCCTTAGAAGGACCAACCCAACACTGACATCTTCATTTTGGGTTTCTGTCCTGAGAACTATAAGACAATCAGTGTCTGTGGTCTGAGCCTTGGTCTGCGAAGGGGTTTGGGGTGGGGGTGTGGTCTCGGCAGCCCTCAAAAATGGATGTGACTTCTGTGAGCTAAAATAGGCTCTTTGCTCAAGGTAAAACCTTCGCTGATTGTTGGACACATTCTTTTCCCATGTAGGTAAAGAATCCACAGAGACATAATGCAAAGACAAATGTGATCTCTTGAAGGAAAGACTCCCCCATTATCATCATTCCAGCTTTCAGAATCACCACTGCCACTCACCTGGCACATTTGGTAAGAAGGAAAGCTAGACTTGATCTGGGGTGATAACACAGAGGGTGGGGAATTGCCTTGCACTTGGCCAACCTCAGCTCAATCTCCAGCATCCTACATGGTCCCTCGACTCAGCCAGGAGTGATTCCTGAGTGCAGAGCCAGGAGTAGCCCCCGAGCATCACCGAGTGTATTCCAAAAACAAAACGAGAAGACTGAAAAAGAAAAGAAAAGAAAAGAAAAGAAAAGAAAAGAAAAGAAAAGAAAAGAAAAGAAAAGCCAGCCGGGAAATGTCCTCACCTGGATTTGCAAGGCGGCTGCTGGTGGGTCCGAGAATCTGGTAGGGATCTGCAGCAAGAAGAGAAGGTGAATACTCAATAACGCAGTCATGGACTTGGGAGGGGCTGTCAGGAGGTGTCAGCCACCGTGTTTATGGCTTCACAGTACCAGCTCCCCCATATGACAAGACCCAGGTAGAAGCCAACAAGGTTCCTGCAAGTCACCACCAAACTGGTGGCCAGGTTTGGGTCTGGCGAGCCCAGTGGTCTCTCCCTCTCAGGCCAGGACAGGGCAAATATATACATGGAAAGTCCCAGAACCATGCAGGTCACACTGCCCAGCTCACTGGCACTATCCACCTGCTCTTGAATCTCCACCGTTAAACTTGCACAGGTGTGCTGACATGGCTACATGTGTACAGCTACACGTGGAACAGGTAAGTAACTATTTCCTAGACTTTTCACAGGTGTCGCAAATGTTCTAGCCCATGTCCAGTCATTGCAATTGAGGAGACCACGTGCTCATTTGCGTTTGGTACCCCATCTCTATAGCCCCTGGAACGTACCTAGCTGGGGCCGCTGGTCTTCTGTTTTAGGCACCGTGGAAGGGGATGGTTGAGCAGCTGCAAGTTCAAAAAACAAACAGAATAAAGGACAGTGAGCTGCAACTTATATTTAGTCATTAGCCTTGGCTATGACTGTATAATCATTTCATCATTTCTGCTATGAATATTAGCACCACGCTCTAACCAACTGAGCTAGCCGGATCAGAGTTGATAGCCCAGCGGGTAGGGTGTTTGCCTTGCATGCAGCAGACCCAGCCGACCAGGGTTCGATTCCTCCGCCCCTCTCAGAGAGCCCGTCAAGCTACCGAGAGTATTTTGCCCGCACAGCAAAGCCTGGCAAGCTACCCGTGATGTACTCGATATGCCAAACACAGTAGCAACAAGTCTCACAATGGCGACGTTACTGGGCCTACTCAAGTAAATCGATGAACAACGGGAGGACAGTGCTACAGGACAGTACTACAGTGCTATGAATATAAGTCTAAGAATAAGACCATCTCATGATCAGGAAACATGCTCTTCTCCAACGAGACTGGAGGCAAAAAACACAACAACACAAAGTGAGGGTGCTTGTGGTATTTTATTTGTGTTCCCTCTTTTTTCCCAGAAACAAACAAAACAGCAGTTGCAAGGGCTTAAAAAATGAAATTAAATGAATCACAGTTGAAAATTCCAAAAGGCAATAAAATTATTTTAATTTTATTTACATTTAGATAAATGTATATGTTTATTTTATTTATTTAACTGTCTCTGTCACTGCCACTGTCCCCCCATTGTTCGTCGATTTGCTCAAGCAGGCCAAGTAACGTTGTGAGACTTGTTACTGTGTTTGTCATATCGAATATGTCATGGGTAACTAGCCAGGCTTTGCCGTGCGGGCAAGATACTCTCAGTAGCTTGCTGGGCTCTCTGAGAGGGGCGGAGGAATTGAACTTGGGTTGGCCAGGTCGGCCGTATGCAAGGCAAATGCCCTACCCACTGTGCTATCACTACAGAAAAAATAAAATAAATTTCAGGAAAATAAAACAAAGTCATGGAGACATTTAAAGATGGCTAGGAGGGATCAAAGAAAAAGGAGAGGGGTCAGGCCACTGGAGCTGCATCGGCCACACCTGGTTCTATCCCTGGCACTGCCTGTTCCCCTAGCATGGCTGGTTATGGAAGTTACCTTGAACCACCAGCTAAATATCACAAGGAATCACCAACCCACCTCCAATTTCTTGAGCACCAATATGTGCAACTCTCCTCCCCACTCAAAATAAGAACAAAAATTAACAGCCAACGTTAGAAATCACCTCGTATCTACTCTGAACTTAGACATTCTGGGAATATGCCTTTGTCCATGTTGTAGGACAGGGTGTTATTCCTTCCATTTTTGTGAAGGAGGCATAAAAACCATAGACAAGGAATCCTGGTCAAGAGCAATTAGCTCACACTTGATGCGTGGGAAAAGCACGTATTAATTACAGAAATTATTACTGATGCCATCAGCAACCATCCAAGCCTTAGTACATGCAGACTCAGGAACTTGGGAGCCAGTACTGTACCTTTGGACTGGGGGCCGGGATGACCATGACTGGTCCAGGCTGACCTCCTGGGTGGTTCATAAGGTAAATCTGCAAGAAAAAAAAAAACCCACAAATGAATTGGCGAAAAAGTTATGAACATACAACTTACAACAGATATGTGGTTTTCAGGTTTTATTTAATAGGATAAATGTTAGGCAAGAAAATACAGTCATCCAAAGACACATCCAAGCTGGAGTCCACTAGATTTGAGTAATATTTATAAATTCTCATTTAAAAGGTTTTTTTTTTTATTTTTCACCATCAATCTAAAATTCTTATTGAGTGGTTCTTCTAAAGCTTGCCGAAACTTCTGGGGTCATTTCCTCTGTGTGTGTGATCAAAACTGTATTAAAAGTTTCTTACAATGAAATATGTTCCACTTCCAACTAGGTCTATGTAAATCTACCCTTTATTATATTCATGGCCCATCCAAAACAGTGCACAACCTTGATGAATCAACCAATCTGTTGTGAACCCGATTCCCAGTGACTTGCCAACACAAACTTCTTGCTGGGATTTTGCCTATGACTCCATTAATACTTAATCCATGTACCCTCTTCTTCACTCCTGGAGACCAGCACAGCCTTCTTGGCTTCCCATTTACCCAGCTTCCTCACTACATGTTTAGTAAAACTCTCTCCATTTCTCTCACATTTCTAATAAATCAGTCTTCATTCTAGTTAAGCAAGTATCTGTGCTTTTACCTTCTCTACATGAATGTTTATGCCTTTGAAATAAATTCCATGAACCCAATTACAAGACCTAAACAGCACAACATGAACACACGATGAGTTTGGTATAAATCTCTGACTTCTTTGTCTTTGTAATGCATCTTCACTGCTCCTCAACCCTCAACCCTTTGCACATGCAAACTGAAAAACCATGCTTCCATAAAGCTCAGCTGGTGTTCTGCAATCTATTGATGCTCAAGAAGACTTATCTGACTTCCTTTAAGTTTCTTTCCAAAATATAGTTTGGAAAAATTGTGATGATTGATCCTACAAATGGTGCACACAGAGAGCTACTTCTACAAGCAACCTTACTATAGAATTGTTCAAAAAAAAAAGCAACAACTTTGTCTTCTTGGATGGAGGCCTCCATTTAATGCCATGTGCTGTTCTGGGCCAACTAAATGCCACAACCAGATACCTCAAGAAGTAGACAGTTGTCACGCACCTGGAATGATGTTCAAATCACCCTTGGATGAGTCCGTGTCACTTAGCTTTAAGCTTCTCTCTCAACAGATCATTTAACCTTATTTAAAATGAGCAATTTGGTGGGTCAATCTTTAAAAACCCTTGACTTTGCTGCATAAGCTGTGCTCATTCCTATCTATTTTCATATCCCAGAGAGGATGGCAATGAAATAAAAATGTGAAATTCAACACAGAGTTGCCTTAATTCACTGGATCTGTCTGGCTAGGAGTGTGGCCGGCCCAGAGTGTGGTCTATGAAACCCTACTCTCCAGGGCTTTGGGTGGGTGAGTTGTTTTCCTTTGGAAACGCTTACTCGACTTCTCAGCTGGCATCAGAGCATCATCTAGGAGCCTGTGACTCAATCTGTGGGGCTCTGGGACTGGGAGTCTTTCCCACCCAGGCCCTCAGACACTTGCTTTCCTGGTGCTGGGATTACACAGGGGAATCCCAACAGAGCTCCGCACCAATAGCTCAATTTCCACCAGGAGCAGTTTGCCCATGGATTCTTATTGGCCGGACTGTATCTAGAAAATGCTGAGTCTGCATTTCTATTAGAGAATACTCCAAAAGATAAAAAAAAAAAAAAAAACTCTTAAGGCAACTGAAGCAGCCTCTAGCCTAACTGAGGAACAGACAGGCACAGTTTACCATGAAGGGCATTTTATAGGCTACATTCAAAGTGTACAGGGAGGGAGCAAGAGTCTATCAGGGCCTTGTTCATAACCTGCCCCCGTTCACTTCCTGGCACTACACAGGGTCCCCTGACACCACCAGGGGTAATGCCAGAGAACAAGAGGCAGGAGCAATCCCTGAGCATAGCTGGGCATTCCCTTCCCCCCCCCCCAAAAAAAAATACCACAATAACAACAAAAGTAAGGAGTATAGCGGTAGTATGGGGTGTATGCCTAGCATGGGCCAACCACAAGTGTGCTCCCTGGTACCACACAGTCCTCAAGAATCACCAAGTATGAGCTGGAGCAATAGCACAGTGGGTAGGGCATTTCCCTGGCATGTGGCTGATCTGGGTTCAATCCCTTGCATCCCATAGGGTCCCCCAAGCACTGCCAGGAGTAATTCCTGAGTGCAGGGCCAGGAGTAACCCCTGAGCATCGCTGGGTATCACCCAAAAGGCAATAAATAAATAAATAAATAAATAAAATCACCAAGTACATCCCCGGAGGCTCCCAGCACCACCAGCGTGGTCTGGAGACCCCTGCTCTGCAGGGCACAAGCAGCACTGCACCCTTGAGCTGCATTGAGCTGCGGCCAGAGAATCATGGAGAGGCCTTGGGCCTCCTGGACACCTCACACAACTTCTAAAGTAACATCATCTGGGGCCAGAATACAGCGGGTAGGGCAATTGCCTTCTAAACAGCTGGCCTGATTTTGATCCCCAGCATCCTATATGGTCCTTTGAACACTACCATGAATTATTTCTGAGCACAGAACCAGAGTAATCCCTGAGCACCTCTGGTGTCCCTCCCCTCACCCCCACCCACAAATAAAGATGTAACATTGAACAGAAACATTCCCTGGATCTTTATTTTCAGAGTATCCAGCAAACCTGGCCAGTCCCGACAGCCTGTTAAAATTGCGGGTTCACCTGCCAGAGACACCTTGGGGAATTTCTCTGAACTCAGATCCTAGGGGAATTGTGTGCACAGGGGGTTTGAAAAAGCCTGCTCTAGCCCATCTGCACAAAACTCTTCTTAAAATTTTAGAATTTCTAAAAATCCAGATAGTGAGTTCAGAGAGGGTAAAATAAAGCAGCATGTGGAGAGAGTTCTAGATCAAATGCTTTTCTTTGGGTCTTGAGAACAAATAATAATGTCAGTGGGTTAGTACACACACTCACACACACACACACACACACACATGAGCGTGCTTTAAACATAAAAGCTCTGCTCATGAAGTGTGACTGGAAAAAATGAAACATCTCGCTGCCCATAGAAAAATATTTTTGAAGTTCTTTATTCATAAAATCCTGCTGAGGGGGTGGAGCGGTGGCCCAACCTCCCCGCCTTGAAAAGAAGTCAGAACCTACATGTCCCCTGAATTTTAGCCAAGAATTTGAGATGTTTACAGGAGCGAGGACGAACATTTTCATCAACATTTTGCCCTGGAAGATAAGCGAGCTTTTGTTTCCGTCCATGAAATTCTGGTCCAAAGCTTCCTTATCAGCCACTAGTCACATGGTGTGGGCACCACACCCCTCCTATGTGGTGTGACCCTGGAAAGGGGGACAGGCGGGGTCAACCCTTCAGCAGCTGCCCCCATTCTCTGCAGAGCGGTCCGGAGAAGTTCTCTAATTATTATTTTTTCTATATGAATTCACTCTCCGTACATCTGTCCTTAGTGCCTTATAGATCATGAAGACTTGAATAAGCACAGGTGGTAGATTCTGTATTTTCTGGTCATGCCAAGTCACTCTCTGTTCCTCCCTCTGTTTGTTCTTCAAGGCAACTAAGCCATGGACTGTATGGAAGTGTCTCTGATGGGGAACACAAGCCTTTGAACTTGGGTCTGCTAGTTTTCCCCTATAAAACATTTGTGTTCAATGCTAGATGTTACAAAAAACAACTCGGAAGTAGATTAGGGATAGCAGGAAAATATGTCTTGAGTCCTGCGTGAGAGTCCCAGCCCAGTAATTACTCATAAGCTGGAGTCTACACCACTTTACAGACTCAACTCTCCAAAGAGAGACTGGACACACACTATCATCTCCAGGCCTGGACCTTTGTCCCTTTCCTGGAAGCAGGGATCCCTTTCTGAAGTGGAAGCAGACTTCTGTCCTCTCCTAACTCCTCCTCTAGACATCACTGGCTCAAGCCTACACCCCAGCCACCCTTCCTGGAAGATCCAGCTCTCCAGGTTTTATATTCATCTTCCACCAAGCCCTGTGAAAGAGCATCATCCCTCTTGCCTTCCTCACCCCCCTCACCCCCACTTGCTCTTTTCTATGACATGCCCTGGTTGGTGGGAGAGTCCCCCCGCTCTCCCTGCATTTCCAAAGCAGCTCTGAAGATCCACTGGTTGCGAAGGATAGGAAAGGACCAAGCTGGATTGTTCTCAATAAACTTCAACACCAAGAGCAAGGACATAAAGAACCAGAGCTCTTGCACAGAATTTGTATAGAAACACCAATCAGGTGACTCATAATTAAATCTCCAAATAGAGCAACTGGCTACAAATATTCCTCAGATACCCAGTCCCGGCTAAGACTTCTGGGGCAACCTCATCAGAAGCTGGTTCAAGTTCCTGCCCCGCTTAAGCCCCAGCAGCTGCACTCACACCCCGACAGCTGCTGCCCTGCCTCCAGTTGGACTCCATCACCTCACGACTGAGCTCCACAGAGATGCTAACCTACCCCAAATTTCAGGTACACCAGTTATTGTTTGGCTGAAGACTCCAAGCCTTCCCAAAGCCAGAATGAGCTACCTCCTCCTACCTCCCCATACTTCCGGGACCCCTGGCAGTCACACCCACATTCCACCATCATTGCTGTGTCACTGTCACTGTCTTCCCGTTGTTCATCGATTTGCTCGAGCGGGCCCAGTAACATTGTGAGACTTGTTACTGTTTTTGGCATCTCAAATATGTCACAGGGTGGTTTGCATTGCTGTGTAAGCCCAGTAAAACATTCTGGATTTTCTGGAGTGACATCCCCAACTCTACAATACTAACATCTCAGTAGGAACAGACAGATTGGATGGGGATGCAGCATAGAAGCCAACGAGTCTTGACTAACGAAAGCATTAACACAGAAAGTTTAACTGGCAACAACAGCTTAGTAAATAAACCCTCAGACAAAGACTTAACATCTCTGTGGTGAGATACCACAATTTTCACAAG